ACCAACGTGTGAATGCGTCGCAAGCAACCCTTTGATCTGTGTCCAAAAACCGACACTAGACCGGATCAGGGACAAGCGTCCACAAACTCACGCAAGCCAAGCCAAACGCCCTCTTTTACACGCTTGTGCTTGTGGATGCTTTAGAGGCATTAGATATTCTTCTATTATTATATGTACATTCAAAAACGACTGCCGTTTTATTAATTCTGACAACAAATTTGCATTTATAATATTCTCAAGTAGTGTTTTTATAACACGTGGTAGAGCCATGTTGCAGCTTTATTATGGTTGTAGCACGAATGGGTCCGCTTGACAGGGGTAGGACCACGCCATCGCAGATTACCAGCGTAAAATAGCAGCTTAATGCTGTTGTGTTTCGTATGGTGAGTGTAGAGAACCGGAGACCATTTTTACTGGAACCGAGGCATTCCATCTTAGTCCTCAGGTGTGACAACGCATCTGCATTTTAATTTTTAATCGAGGATAAATGTAGATAAGTATGGGTCACAGCATCCATTTACCATCAGGTCTGTGTGTATCTACATTTATCCTCGCGATAGCGTGGTCCTACCCCTGTCAAGCCGACCCATTCGTACTACAATTATACCTACTACTAATATAGCTATACGCTGCCACGAAGTTGTAGATAGATTTCCGATGCCACCAACTTCTGAACAGACCATTTATCTATCATTAGACCAAGAAGTGATTCGTAGATTGCAGGGAACTTACTCTGACAATGCTTTTACCATCCTCTTTAATATTTTCATCGCCAAATGTTCCAAGTATCCTGTCATAACCAGACCTCTTTATCCCTACTCTTCCATAAAAATGTTGTATAAAATAATGGTACATAATTTGAATTGTTATCAATACTTGTTGTCCATACTAAAATAATTTGAAAGAGCCGAATAAGGCTTCGGCTTCGGCCGAAAAGTCACACTCGGTCGCGTAATATAACTTAACTATTTGATACCCTTAGTGAATGCAATAAGAATAAAACAAAAAAAAATTTAATATTTCGCGATTCAGATAATTTGTTGTTGATTACTGTAACTTTCATCTTTAACATTTGTAGTTGACAGTTTGGTCTTCTAGAATTTAGAAAAAAATAATGTAAATTAGTAATACTGTCCACGTTGTTTAATAATTATTTGTTACATTTTATTCTAGCAGTCGGTATGAAAGGTCGGCGCTGGATACAAGGTGGGACTAGTTCGCATAGATAACAATTTCTGACTACGAAAAACGAACCTATTACTTCACTACATACCACTAAACAGACCTAAAACATTTACTGCGCAAGTGAAGCCTAGCGCGCATTGCCGTGCCGTTTATTGATACTATCTGTAATTACTATCTTTCATCACCTTGATTTTGACATGTAGTAACACTGTAGAACTAATTAACTGTGAACACTGTCTATAGAATTTAATATTAAACTTAATATTATTTTTTATGTTCAATTGCAATTGAAATTTCAAATTCTATAGACAGTCATCATCATCGTCATGAATGATGATGATGATGACTGTCTATAGAATTTAATATTAAACTTAATATTATTTTTTATGTTCAATTGCAACAGAATATAATAAATACAAAACTAAAGTATTTATATAAGAATGGGATATGTTTCGATTATATTTATGTACATTCCACTTTTAAATTTATTTGAATTTTAACGTTTTGTAGTGAAACACTTCATTGCTTGCTTATTGTTTAGATGATTAAGATAATAAAAAATTAATACAAAATTTAAGTTCCAATGTAATTTATGATATACAATATGATGAAATAGACGATAAAAATACATGGTGTTTTATACATAATATTATATATAGCAAAACACTTTCGTATTAAATTCAATTTAATATCTAAGTATTTTATTTATTGAGTCCAAAACTGTATAATCTGTAAATTTTTAGTAATATGTTTCATCTGGTTGCATTAACAATAGACTAGTATTAAACTTAGCAGGTGTTGTTTAAAATTGGCTCTAGTTTTAACGCTGGATATTTAACAAGAAAAATCAATAAGAATAACATACCAAATCAATTATTGTATTATAACATTACATTGTATTTTAAAGGTAAAGCTTTTTATTTTGTGCTTTTGTTTGTATTTTGCTAGTTCGGACTTTAAGTCTTGAAATGGTGTAATATGTGTATGTTATGGGCCAAGTGATTAATCAGGGCACTATTTATAATGCCCGACAATATGAATTATGACCGCAATATGATGAAATACTGATTTTAACTTCATTATTTATCACATTGTCTGGTCAATCAACCTAATCTATCTTTTTATTACTCTGTCCAATAAGTAACGGGCTATAAAGTCCGGTCAATTTAATTATATCAATAGTTTCTATCATATTGCATACTTTGTATTGGGCAATTTTCAAACTGCCCTATTAATCACTTGGTCCATAACATATACATTATTATTTGGAATATGTGAATATGATCTTAGATTCCCTCAACATGTTATAATCATATTTTCCCAGGCATTACTTCAACGGAATATTAATTTTGCTAGATTAAGCTATTCCACAATTATTTACTGTTATAGTGTCATTTTGTTTTGTACCTAGAATTTTTCTTAACCCGTTTCCAGACATTTGCTGCATAAGAAAAGCAGGCTGGTTTCAAATGTCTATATTATTCATTTAGTTGTGATTTAAAATTAAATACATACTAGATATTTTATCTTACATATTTATATTTTTCAAACATTTTTAATAAATAAAAATGAGGGTTTGTTAAGTATTTGCGATCAATATTGTCATCATTAGTGAAAACTAGTTAAAAAAATGTAAATAATTAATTAAAGCCTTAAATGTCCTTTAAAGAATCAACACAATCTGTTGTAGAGAAGATAAGACACAGGAGTTGTTATACTTTTAAATTAAATAATAGCTTAAGCAGCAAAATTTTCTTGGGTAAAATATTTATTAATTGTACATTGTAATTTATCTACATATAGTTTTATTTATATTCAATTTCATATTTATTCTGACTATAATAAGTTATTCATTCTGTTTTGAATTTATTTATTCGTATATTACGTTTTATGAAAAGGTATAAATAAAACAATAACTACTTATTACTTTGAATTTAATTTAATTGCTAAAGTCTTAAGAGCTATGATTTTTTTTTGATAATATTGTTAATTCAAGCTAATCAACTGTGACTTTAGCTTTGAGTCGCAACTTTTGTCCGCGTATAACAAACAAAAAAAACCTTCGAATCTATAAGACTAATCTTTGTGCAAGTTGTTTTATTTGGGTAAATACCACTTTAAACTCAGTTTATGCTATTATTTAGAAAATTACGTGCGATATTGGAAAATGTTTAAATTAAAAAATGAATATATATTAATTTCACGTAAAAATAGGTCATCTATTATAATATATCCTTTACATACGACATAGTTTGCTTGTGTAATGGAGTTGAAAAAAATGTTAAGAATCAGTTTTCCTTTACATACAACAGTTTTCTTGTGAAATGGTGTTGAAAAAAAATGTTAAGAATCAATTTTACATCAAAACTTTAAGAAATAGAAGATGTAAGGTCTTAAAATCTTTCTTATATGTATCTCTTTTGGTTTATGATCATCAAAAACCATTTATTTTATCAGATTTCCATTTTACAAAAAAGAATGCATGTTTTTCAGATAAAATATAGCCTAGATCAAATCCTGCGTTCCCCGACTATCTGTCCATTTGTTTTGATGCTTCATAAGTCATAACAATCTGAAGTCAAGTCATTCCCAAGATAAACCCGAACAGACAGCCAATAGACATTTTTTTTATAGATATATATAGTACATACATATCAATTTTTGAATTCAAATTTTTTATAATTAAATTCTTTTTATCACTCATTTTAATTAGTAAACTGTAAACTGTGTGCATCTGCAACAATTTCTCAAATCATCCAGAGTTGACTTGGGTAGTCATAAGCCAATTAAGTCTGCCCTTTTATAATGTCCTCCCGGACCGAATTTCGGTCACGGAGACTAGCCATCTGTACAGGACAGGATTATGGTGCCAGAGTGTATACCGCACCGCAAGCACAAGTGCACTCTATTCCCTCTCATATTCCGATGGGACGCTAATGCGACACGACGGGAGAGAGATTGGACGCAGGTAAGCCGTTGGTGGCCTTACGTGCTCTTGAGGTACGGGGGTATAACACCGCAAACTTCCTGACTCCGGGCTGCTACTGAAAATATCTTGTCAGAAAAACCCAATGCTTGATTTTGACCCGACCTGGGATTCAAACCCGGGGCCTCAAGATCATCAGTTGCGTTCGCACAACTTTGTATAATCGGTTACCAGCGACCGGACGACCGATATGATTGCAAGAATCTTGAACCTGGACCTTCAAGAAAAGAGCCTACTCTTTTTTTAAATGTCGACAACGCACCTGCAATTCCTCTGGTGTTGCAGTTGTTCATGGGCGGCGGTAGTCACTTACAATTATGTGAGCCGCATGATCATTTGCCCCCTTTTATAAAAAATCATAACCAGTGTAACGTTTTGCCGCTGACTTGTTAATCGTTTTTGGTACGAGATCGCTTGGGTACGGACGCGTCCAGTTCAAATAGGGTATAAAGTGTCCAATTATTGACACTTTAAGCGTGACCCTATCAAAATAATACTATTCCTAACATTCTACGATGTTAACAGATAGTTTAAGGTTTAAAAAAACTGGAATAACTATTCTAGAACGTTGCCAGTAAGATTAAAATGTAAATAAAACATTATCAGAATTATTTTTTGCAATTTTAGCCATACCATGTGATTTGCCCAAATCACCTCCAACTCCAATATATTGACACCCCCTCGACACCCCACTGTATTCAGGATCTAAGGTTAATTTAGTAATAATGTAAAATTTTACCTACCTAGTTTTTGAGTTATTCTTAATAATTTATATTGAAGTCAGCTGTACAAAATTTCTAATTTTAAATTATCTCGAAATAAAACAAATGGCAATCAATGTTTATTATGAAGTAGGTACATGTTTTGGCTTTACTTAGGTACAATAATAGAGTCAATTGACTATTAAGACTGGGTATTTTGTAAATAACTGTAGAAAAGATCTTAATTATCATTATCTCAGTCTTCAATCACTGTTAGAAAACGTTCTATTTCTTCTGTTGTGTATACTTTTTATTCTTACTACCTATTTCATAATGTTCAAATGAACTATTCCGGCTATTTTCTTTGTCTTTTTGGAAACTATTCTTTTTCTCTTCTTTATTGTTCTGTTCTTGATCGACATTAATTTGTAATTTCTGGGATGTGTCCATATTATAAAATGTATTACTAAACAATAACTTCCTCACTCCATCGAATTTTGTAGCAGATTCCTTCTTAGATTTTGGTTTAATATTTTCTTTCCGTTTTGTTTATTTTTTGTTATTCTCTCTTTCTCTCTTCTTTTCTTTTTTTAATTATTTCAGCCTTTTCTTCTTTGATTTAAATTTTTTCATTTTCTAGTTCCTTCCACTCAGCCAATGTCAATACAAAAGGCGCCCTCTTAATATTTTTAGTCCCTTTTCTTTGTGGCGTCTAAGACAACACAAGGAATTCTAGCACTTTAACAGGAGTAAAATCCGATAATATTGACTTAGGAATTTTAACAGGATTTATATTATCTTAAATTAATTGTATTTTATTATATTCATGCTCCGCCGCTACATTTGTTACTTTGTTTTCTTTTAAGTTTGACTTTTTGCAAGGTGTAACTTCTGGTTACATATTATTATTTTGAGAGTGTATCTCTGCCTCGTGAGTTATAGTTATAAATTGCACGTCTTCGGAACACCTAACATCGTCATCAGCATCTATATTAATTTTATTTTTGTGTAAAGAATTACAGTCATTATAATTCGTAATCAATCACTACTTACTACTACTTCATGTGACACCGAAACGAAATCAGAAATTGTTTCCTCTAATTGAACATCATCACTGATGACAACTCTCATATCGGCAATAGAAATTGGGTTTATTGTAATGTCATTTTGTTTAGTAATGTTTCTTTCTTCTCAGTAATCTTTTCACTCATCGGTTAAGTGTTTCATTTCGTTTAAAGATATCCCAAATTCTTCGTAAGTAATTATCCTCTGATGTCAGCGCATATCTTTCGAGGTCTGCTATTTTGTTTTCCCCCTATGAAATTCATAAAACATTCTTATTTCACAATATTCACTTGATTTTTCTATATGGTCCGTACTCTTTTCAATACATTTTGTAAAATCAATTGCATTTATATCCCATGGACATAAACCAGTGAACTCTGAAGCCATTTACGACCTCAACGGTCGTAAATGGCTTCGGCGTGATCCGTTTTTCTATGGTACTTTGTAGCAGTGGCACAAAGTTGTTTTTTGTTAAAGGATGATTTCGCCGCCATTCTAGCACAGATTTTTACCAACCATATTATAGTGGCTTGAAAGCCGATACGTCCGCGGGTTGTAAAAGCCTTGTGCAGTTGGGATAAAGATGCCCGTCAACAAAGAGGATTATTGAAAACTGTGTTCCTGATTTGACCAAATGGGGATAAAGGACGCTTTCGATATAATCGTGGAAGATTTTTTAGACTTTATCCATCCATTATCGCTTAATCTTATATCCCAGTCTGGAGGAACCTTTGAGGATATATCAGCCGACAGTCTTTTATTCGGGAATATTACCATGGGTGGAGTAAGATGTCCATCACCACAAAATGTAAACATTACTGTTAGCGATGTTTTTGCTGGGGCGCTATTGACTTCATACACATTTTTGTAGCCTTTCGGAGCAAATACTACGCCTGTTTTAGGACAAAGGAGGATATTAGTTTCATCCCCATTAAAAACACGACGAGAATCAGAGAGGACATATAACATACACATACAAATAAATCATATTCCTGGAGATAGTCTTTGATTAAACCAGCCCCTAATGTCATTTTCTGAAACTGCTGCGGTGGCGGCTGTGACTGCTTCAGGTGTCCGAAAACTAAGTTTGGGGTGACGCTGCAAAAACAGTTTAAACCATTTCTCACCATTGTCAACCTACCAAGCCTCTTATTTTTTGTTAGGTTAGCCTTAACTGTTTAAAATATCTTCTTTTCTTTTGGGAAATCGCTTCTGCAACAACCATTAATCCATTCCTATTTATCTGCCGACTTCCAAAAAGGAGACGGTACTCTATTCGACTGTATTTTTTTTATGCGTGTTACCTCATAACTTTGTACTGGGTCAACCGATTTCGATGATTCTTTTTTTTATATGAAATCTGATAGTTCTCGTGTGGTCCCATACAATAGTTGATCAAGGCCAGACTAATAGTTTTTGAGTTATTCTTAAATAACTTATATTGAAGTCGGCTGTACAAAATTTTTAATTTTAAATTATTTCTTTCTTCGTTTTCTGTCAGTACACAATAGAAGGACCTGGACACGAATTATGCAGGGAATTTTTGAGTCTGTAAATGAATGTCGTTCGTAGCACCTGATAAGTTTTCGACTCATACCATTTTGTACTGCTTGTAGGGCTTGCTTTAAATTATTTGGCTCATATCTCTTTCTTTTCAGTTTCTCCTTAATCTTCGTATCAGATGATTTTATAGGTTTTATTTTCAAAATTTACCAACTGTAACAAAAAATATTATTAACTGGATATAAAATGACCATTTATTGACATACTTGTACCCAATTATCACACTGATGTCCATATTAGATAAGTTCAATTTGACACTCGTGCCAAGAATTGAAATAAGGGTTTATTTCAGCTTAATTCTTGTTTAGCCAGTTTATGAATCTTAAAATAGGCACAATAAAACAAAAATATCATACAAAAAAATATTTAAAAACCCAGTTACTGACATGGATGTCAATAAAATAGTTTTTCTTATTTCGGTGTACCAAACGTCAACTAAAACGACTACCATAAACCAAACGACACTAAAATAAACTTAAAAAAAATTAAAATGGAGAAATAACTGCAGAAGTTTGATATTGAAACAATAATTATCAATTAAAACTTACAATTATTGAAATGTAGACTAAAACCATGTACTAACGAGATCCAAAAAACACTCACCTTATGGATATGTAAAGATAACGTTTTTTTTCTTCATACATACACTCTTGTACAGTTGACTCAGCTGACTAGACGCCGTAATAGTTTTTGACATCTTTGTGTTGCTAGACTCATACGACAAAGATACCAAAAATCTTAAGGTACCAACACTATGTGTAGTGGTTTTCATATTTTTAGAAGAAAATTGCTGGCGTGTCTATAAATTGAAGAGGTGGTCTAGATTAGGTTGTCTTACCCTATATACAGAGTTGCTAAAATTCCCAATTTAAAAGTGTGCTATAGCATGATACAAAAGAATGGTAATGTAAAAAAAATAGTTTATTTTTTAGGTTTATTTTTAATTACAATGAAAACGTTATTGTTATATACAGCTCGTAATAGATACTGGACTGTTAGCATTTCGCGCGACAGAGATTACGCTGTTTAAAGCCGAAGTTAGCCGATCATCTCTTTAAAGCTGGGTGTGTAATACCTCCAGGCAATGTAGCCACTTACCATCAAGTAGACTTAATTTCGTTTGTCGCTATAAATTTTACAATTAACAAATATTGAATAAAACTATTTTTAAGGATTTTATCGCGTTTAATTAACTTATTTTATATACCCGACGTTTCGGTTGCTTTCCAGCAACCATGGTCACGGGGGACTGAGGTGATTCACGTCCCAATGTCAATGTTAAACCGGAGTACCTTCAGCTTTTTTAATTAATAATTTTGGTCCGATCTACGCAGAATGAACTAACTGTGTCTTGGAAGTCTTGCAGTGGTATGCTTGGGTTTAGTTTTAATTTTATGAATTACAGGATCCCAAGCAGGTGGTAGTACCCAGCCTCCCTCTCTACTGAAATTAGGATGTTTTTTAATTTCAATAGCCTCACGTATCATCCTTGGCAGGAATCGATGTTCTTTCGCGAGAATTTGTGGTTTATCAAATCTAATGTAATGGCGGGGGCCGTCTAGGATATGATCACAAACTGCAGAATTGATAAATATTTTATATTATAATGTATAATATTATATTTATTATTAATTATATTTATATATGTTTCTCTTTCTTACATAAAAAAATATATACATCACTGATTTGACTGTAACATTTCATTATAATATTTAGTAGATTTACAATTTTGATTTAATATTTTGAACAAGAACGTCGTGCATATCCTGCAATGATTGTTCTAGTGCCTTCCTGTATTTATCGCAGCTGGTGACAGGATTGGAAACGAAGGCAGCAGTCGCGAAATTCACATCGTTGTCTCTGGGATTGTAGCACGTAGCGTATCCGTCAGGTACCAACGGTCCGTAACACATAAAACCATCGCACTTGCAGGCCACCTAAAATTATACAAGCTGTATTGTGAATTGGGTAGTTGACCCACCATAAATAAATAACTCCATCATATGATTTGAATTTGTGAAAGTTTGTATTATCTTAATACTCGGTCGATTATTCATTTAAAGATAAAGATATCTCATGATAAAGGATTAGTTATTAATGCTAGCAAGACCAAGCTAATGTATATTAGTTCTAGTCATAATAGAAGTAAAGTCATACCTAGCATTATTGTGCATGACCACCTATGCCTTCACAAAGGACAAATGACATTCAATTGTCATTGTGCAGAATTAGAACCGGTAGAAACTCAAACTTACTTAGAGACTTGTAATAGATAGTCGCCTAAACTATAAACATCATATTGAGGTTGTATGTAATGGACTTCGAAGCATGTTAGCAAAATTTTCCATAATAAAGTATAAAGTCCCCTATAGAATTCTGTTACAATTATATAAATCACTGGCTGAATCTAAAATTTCATATGGGTTGTCTAGTTATGGACGAACTTACAAATCACATTTAGATAACATTTATTCATTGTAATTACGCATCTTAAAAACTATAGTTCCAGACAAGGTTAAAAACTCACACAGCGATTCTGACTACCATAACCTATTCGATTACTGCAAAATTATACCGGTGCATAAAAAAGTAGAATATACTCTCTTAAATGAAGAATTTTTTAACGATGATTTAAAAAATATGTCATCTCTAATTATTCTAAAACCCGCAGTTCGGCCAAACCAAAATTAGCTAAACCTAATTATAACAATTTTGACGCAGCGAAGTGGGCGGTGGCAAGACTCACGTCTTTTAATACACTATTAGTTAATTATATATTGCCGATTTACCGCCTGTTGACTGCGCCAGTTGCTGTCTAATAGTGTTGCGTTATACATATGTTGTAGATTAGTCGGCGGCTTGTGGTACACGGTAAAGTTTTCAGTAAGCTTATGTTGTACCATAATATATGCTCTGTATTATCTGTAATTTGTTAAATAAATAAAAAAAAATTCAAATATGATAGAGGCGACTTAAGAGAATCATCCAGTTGAAGTCGTTTTTGGTGACAGAGGGAAATGAAACAAGAAATCATCAGCAGTGTCTTCCTATCTCTTCCACGAGGCAATCTATGGGGGAGGCCTACATTGTGATGGACTGCCTCTTTTTTGATAAAAATCTATAACGTCCTTACAATATATTGATCTATAATATCTATAGAAATGTTTGTTTTGACAACTCTTAAGCTGAACGCACATTTGTCCGCACCGTACGCATCGTACGCGCCGAGTTTTACTAATCGCCTTGCACATTTACCCGTACGCATCGTCCGCGTCGTACGCAAATCTTTTGTATTACTAACAACTTTTGTAGTTTTTTCCAACCACTGGTGTGAAACGGTACAGTGTAATTGATCGCTCAAGATCACTATGGAAAGATATATAGTAAATGCCTGCTTATTGGCAGAGGAAGAATAAAATAAAACTCGAGGAAAAAAAAGATTCTGTATTCATAATATTAATTTAAAAAGGCAATTGTATGGAGAATATGAAGGGGATATACTTTATTTAAAGACTTATTAGATGATGATGAACGATTTTTTTAGATATTTGCATTTAACATACAAGAAATTTCAAGAATTGCTACATATACTAAAACCATATCTTTCTATGGAGAACTCAAGATTTAGAAGGCCAATTGAACCAGAAAAAAGACTTGTTGTATGTTTGAAGTAAGTATTTTTATTGATAATTAAGTAATCAGGTGTAATTGGGTTTTTGAATTAAATTCAACTATTTTTTGTTAGTTCAGTATTTAAATAATTTATCGCTAAGAATACATATTGATTATCGATGCAAAAAAATTCAAATTATGTATAATTAATTACGAATGAATTAAAAGTTATAAAAATACAAAACTTATCATGGTAGTCGAAACCACCAGTTATAGTGGAAAATCCACTAAGTTGGCAACATTAGACAACATTGAGTATCAACACGCGCCAAACGCACCGCGTTATATGACGTCCTTCGATATCGTATACCTACCGCATTTTATAAAATGCGGTAGGTATACGATGCGGGTGTAATGTGGGAGGTTTTTTCATACAACGAATTCTAAAATTCGGCGCGTACGGTGCGGACAAATGTGCGTTCAGCTTTAAAGTATTTCAATTGACTAAATTGTCAATTGTACTACAATTTTATACAAATACTCGAATGAAATGAGGCATTCCATCTTAGTTCTCACGGGTGACAACGCATCTGCATTTTGATTTGTAATAGAGGATAGATGTATAAGGGCCGCAGCAACCACTTACCATCAGGTGGACTGTGTGCTCGTTTGTCACCCTTATCCTATAAAAAAAAATCTTAAATTTATCGTAAAAAAAAACATACACATTAATAAAAAGACCATTTCAGAGTACATCTTATTAGCTTGTTCAAGGTCAATAGCACTCAACCTGCTCATTTTTAAAGGAACTTATTGAACACTTGATATTGACTCATAATGTGTACGAGAAAGTACACGTTCATTCCAAGTACATTTTATTCACAAGTATTTTTAGGACAATAAACGCTCTCTACGGAATCGGACAGTTTTAATTACCACATCCCGTGACGTAGATACAACCTACATCGACATCCCATACATCAATTATATGTAAAGGATTACAATTCACAATCCTCTCCCTACATAATGCTTTGCATAATGAATACCTGTTTTAATCCGCCCTTGACGTGACTTATCTCATTGAAACACACACAACAACATATTTCGTTTAACGTGGGAAAATGAAAAGCTAGAAATGGCCCATGACGCAAAAGACAAAGCCGACCTTTTAGGCTCCCTTTTTGCGTCCAACTCGACTCTTGATGACGGGGGGAAAATACCGCCGACCATCCCGCGGTGTGAGTGCTCCATGCCGGATGTGCTGTTCTCACAGCGCTCGGTTCGCAAAGCACTGCTCTCCCTGGACATCCAGAAGTCGAGTGGGTCTGACGGAATCCCCCCAATTGTGCTGAGGACGTGTGCTCCGGAGTTGGCACCGGTCCTAACGCGTCTTTTCCGGTACTCCTACTCCCAAGGCGTAGTCCCGAATTCATGGAAGACAGCTTTTGTCCACCCGATCCCTAAAAAAGGCGACCGCTCAGACCCATCCAACTATAGGCCTATCGCGATCACCTCCTTGTTCTCCAAAATAATGGAATCCATTATTAACTGCCAGCTCATCCGGTACCTTGAGGATCACCAGCTGATTAGTGACCGCCAATACGGTTTTCGTCGGGGTCGATCAGCTGGTGATCTTCTGGTCTACCTGACCCATAGATGGGCGGAGGCAGTAGAGTCCAAAGGGGAGGCGTTGGCCGTTAGTCTGGACATTGCGAAGGCCTTCGATCGGGTTTGGCACAAAGCGCTTCTTTCGAAGCTCCCTTCCTATGGGCTTCCCGAGAAATTGTGCAATTGGATCACCAGCTTCCTTGCAGATCGGAGCATCAAGGTCGTTGTAGACGGTGCATGCTCTGACTACAAGCCTATTAACGCTGGTGTTCCACAAGGCTGTGTGCTATCACCAACGCTGTTTCTTCTGCATATCAATGATATGTTGCTAACTGGTAACATTCATTGCTATGCGGATGACAGCACTGGTGATGCTCTATACACCGGCCGTGCCAATATTTCTCGGGAAAACGTCGCTGAGTACCGGAACAAACTTGTGTCTGAAGTCGAGTCTTTGCTGAACAAAGTCTCGGATTGGGGGCGACTAAATCTAGTCCAATTTAATCCTCAGAAGACACAAGTTTGCGCGTTTACCGCTAAAAAGAACCCCTTTGTCGTATCTCCTCAGTTTCAAGGCACTCCCCTTCTTGCCTCAGCCAGTGTCGGTATCCTCGGAGTCGACATATCGAGTGACGTGCAGTTTCGTGGTCAGTTGGAAGGGAAGGCCAAATTGGCCTCTAAAAAGCTTGGCGTGCTCAGCAGAGCGGGACAGTATTTCATGCCGGCACACCGCCTGCTACTTTACAAGGCGCAAGTTCGGCCTCACATGGAATACTGTTCCCATCTCTGGGCAGGGGCTCCCCAGTGCCAGCTCCTTCCACTTGACCGCATCCAACGCAGAGCGGCTCGAATTGTCGACGACCGAGCCCTTTCCGATCGGCTCGATTCATTGGCACTGCGAAGAGATGTTGCATCCCTTTGCATTTTCTTTCGCATCTACCATGGGGAGTGCTCTGAGGAATTGTTCGGATTAATCCCAGCCGGCAAATTTCACGAACGCACATCGCGGCAGAACTCCCGATACCATCCACACCATCTGGATGATTGGCGGTCCACCACTGTGCGATTTAGAAGATGTTTTCTTCCTCGCACGACCTCCTTGTGGAATCGATTACCATCAGCGATTTTTCCGGACCGATACGACTTAGGGACCTTCAAGAAAAGAGCGTACTCCTTTTTAAAAGGCCGGCAACGCATCTGCGATTCCCCTGGTGTTGCAGTTGTTCATGGGTGGCGGTAGTCATTTACGATCAGGTGAGCCGCATGCTCGTTTGCCCCCTCTCCTATAAAAAAAAAATAATTAACACGAAGTTTCGACCGAGCACATCTAACTTAATATCATCCTCCTCGAAAGTATTACCAGGGTTCGGATCCCACCGCAACCGCCCACAACTGCAAAAGCCCATTTTCAGGCATGGAAACACCATCATATAGAGGTGGGCTGATCCCGATCAACAGACTCTTGAATCATTATGGATTTACAGAAGACGGCTACGGCCCTCTACGCCGGATCGTCGACCGACACAGCTCACCAAGATTGTCCTTTACCAATTCCACGCTGGGTACACCACCCACCGCAGTAGCAGCCATCCTTGTCTATTATATGTGCTGTCTATTATATACACATAGAGGTGTAACGTGAGCCAAGACGATGCGGTATCCTCTCACGATTTATATAGGCCGCTGAACACGAGTAGATTTTGGATGTACAGTGTCGCATAGCCTTGGCGCACAAAGGTGGAACTCCTCTTAGATTGAGCATGGCACCCGTTCCCTCTCAATGTGAGGGTCGCGCAAGTAGTTCTCGATAAAGCCCGAGGAGGGCACCTAATGGTAATGGTAAATTGTTTAGGCCCAAAAAAGGTAATTTGTACGCCATCCAATCACGCGACCGATTTTGGGATTACGGTCTCGATTTTTAGAATTTGTGCGCGTGACTTCGCTACGTAATTGTGTTTCGTGAAAACCGCCTCGTTTTAGGTTGTCTAGAGTTTAAGTTCTTGACAAGAGGCTTGTATTGGGTTTGACCGATTAAAGTAACTTCTTTGAAAGTAATTGTGCAAATTAGATAGTGAATGCGTGTTGAAGTGCATTTTGTAATATTTAACTTGTTCGGGTGACGTGGAATTTTGCGCGCGCGCCGATTAGAGATACGGTTTAGAATTTGCACAGCGCAGTCCTTTATCGAGGGCGTCTCCCTGTTGATTGTTTGGAAATCATCATTGCAATTGTGCCGTCGCGTTAAGTGCCCTTTTTTATGTGTTGACTGTTTTCGTTTTACGTGTCAACGAGGCGGATTTTGAATTCTTATCGCGGCGTAGTATTTAGTATCGAACGAAGGAACTTAGTTGTGTTTAACGCCCAACCGTGTAACTCATGAAGAGATCGCGTTAGTTTCCTATTTGTAATTTGGTGATAAATGAATCCGGGACATTGAATGTTGAACTTTGAACTACTGTCCGTTACTATGTCGGGTATCACGTGTTCGATTCTACGATGAATGTGGAATTAGGCGAGTTTAAGTCAGTTAAATGTACAATGAAGTTAATAGACTGAAATAGTGACATGAAGAAAGAAATGGTCCAGCGGGGAAGCCTGCTGGAGTGATGCAGCATTGAGGGGCAGCATGGAAATCGGCCACTGCCGGTCATCTCACCTGGGCCAGGTCTCATACACATCACTAAACACTACTTTCCATGCACCTTACACCCAGCTACGGCCTGACCGAGCTTTGGGGCGGTCTTAGATTCGGATACAGGTACGTACTATATTTTTCTAGCCTTCTCCCTACAGTTTAGTATGATGGGACATTTTTCCATATGGCCATTTGGGCCCGACCTGCGGCTTCCCGTCGAGGAGGCTGCTATGGGCCCCAGTCAAGTGCGGGGGCAGCTGTAGGCCGTAACAGTAAATGGTTTGAATGGTAACCAACATTTCCTGATTGCGTTCCAAGATAGATTTAAAAGCGTTGATGACATCATTATGTTGTATGTCAGTTGATAATGCCTGTTTCACAGAAAGCAGACGCGTATTATCACACCTACATTGGAACGCTCCTTTTTTTTATACGAGAGGGGGCAAACGAGCATGCGGCTCACCTGATGCTAAGTGACTATCGCCGCCCATGAACAACTGCAACACCAGGGGGGCCAGGGGAATTGCAAATGCGTTGCCGGCCTTTTAAAAAGGAGTAGGCTCTTTTCTTGAAGGTCCCTAAGTCGTATCGGTCCGGAAAAATCGCTTCCGGTCCGGAAGTCGTGCGAGGAAGAAAACATCTTCTAAATCGCACAGTGGTGGATCGTCAATCATTCAGATGGTGTGGATGGTATCGGGAGTTCTGCCGCGATATGCGTTCGTGAAATTTGGCGGCTGGGATTAATCCGAACAATTCCTCAGAGCACTCCCCGTGGAAAATGCGAAAGAAAATGCAAAAGGATGCAACATCTCTTCGCAGTGCCAATGAATCGAGCCGATCGGAAAGGACACGGTCGTCGACGATTCGAGCCGCTCTGCGCTGGATGCGGTCAAGGGGAAGGAGCTGGCACTGGGGAGCCCCTGCCCAGAGATGGGAACAGTATTCCATGTGAGGCCGAACCTGCGCCTTGTAAAGTTGCAGGCGGTGTGCCGGCATGAAATACTGTCCCGCTCTGCTGAGTACGCCAAGCTTTTTAGAGGCCAATTTGGCCTTCTGTTCCAAGTGGCCACGAAACTGCACGGCACTCGATATGTCGATTCCGATACTGGCTGAGGCAAGAAGGGGAGTGCTTTGAAACTGAGGAGATACGACAAAGGGGTTCTTTTTAGCGGTAAACGAGCCGCTGTGAGAACAGCACATCCGGCATGGAGCACTCACGCCGCGGGATGGTCGGCGGTGTTTTCCCACCGTCATCAAGAGTCGAGTTGGACGCAAAAAGGGAGCCTAAAAGGTCGGCTTTTTCTTTTGCGGCTTGGTCCAGTGAGTCGTCATCCCTGTGCAGAGATGTTAGTGATGGCGTACAGAAATTCCCTTGGACAGCCTTGGCGAGAGACCAGAATGCACGGGTTCTCGAAGGAAGGCGAACAAGTTTCTCGCCAATTCCACCTATGTACTCTGACTTTGCCTTGGCAATAACTCTTTTGAAGAACCTGGAGGCGAAGTTATACTTCTTTTTAAGTGTGCTGGTACATCCCGAGTCGCCGAAGCCGCAGCCCAGGTTTGATAACACTCCTGCTTACTGCAGTCTTACAGGAGCGACCAAACCAAGGCTAAGATCTGCCGCCGATGGGTACCACAGATGATGGAATAAATAGTTCCATTCCTTGTAGCACCACATCAGTGACAGAGTCAGCAACAGCGCTAGGATTATCCGGCGAGAAGCAAACCCGCCCCCATGGGTAGGATGCGAAGAAAGACCGCATTCCGTCCCAATCCGCCGACCTGTAATGCCAAACACGGCGGCAACCTGTAGAACGCAACCGCGAGGGGAGCGTGAGTGGCACCACACTCCGGATCAGACAATGGTCCGAAGAGCCGAGAGGCGCATCGACGAAAACCTGATATCCGTCCGGATGAGAGGTCAGCAGGATGTCCAACAGGGAAGGTGTATGATCCTCCACATCTGGAATCCGCGTAGGCGAAGTAACCAGTTGTGTCAGACCATATGCCAAGGCAAAGTCATAAACAGATCTCCCCGCATGATCGGTTAAACGTGAACCGAGCCATTCGGCGTGGTGTTCGTTAAAATCGCCAAAGATCACGTTCTCTGCGGATCGGACCTATTGTAGCAAAAAATCTGTAGCCATTTGGACGTGGTCGATGAGTCGGTCTGTTTCGGCATTACCGTTATGGGACCTATAGAGGCACCCGTAGACGCGCGGATGGTCGTCGCTGTCTACGCGTAGCCAAAGGATGGACAGGTCCGAACCTTCAAGACTGCCGAGGCGTCGAGAACAGATGTCCTCTCTGACATACACGCAAACTCCAGCCCGAGGCACAAAGGAGTGCTCCAATTTGTACCCCGGGTAGGAGAGATACGAAGTATCAGCCGGATAGGACACCTGCGTCTCGGTCAGAAAGAGCAAGGCCGACTTCGCCGTCTCGAGATGGTAGTGGACGGCGTTTAGGTTCGAGTGAAGTCCCCTGATGTTGCAGAAATTCACGGATAGCGTGGCAGGGGTCGAGGGATTCTCCAGGGGTGCTGGTACCCTCCTGGGGTAGTCTGGTGTAATTCCGCTACCATGTTGATGGGGGGGGGGGGGGGGGTTTGGGCCTCCGGCCACCTGGACCCACCAGACGAAACGCAGAAGCAGAGCTTCTACTTCACGCCGGTATTCTGTGAGGTCGTGGTACCAACCCGGCTCGAGCCGGCCCATACGTGCAACAGCAAAAACTGCCGCGTGGCTCTACCACCGTTATAAGATCTCCTTATGGAACCCAAGCTGGCCAGTATGGTACCAACGCCCGACAGATTTTAAGCGCATTCATTGAGCCTGTTAGAAACTATTGTCTTAAACGTTTTTTCAATGTCATCCAACAGGCCAATAGAAAGGTACATAGAAGGAGAACCTGCGGCCTTGCCTTCTTTAATAGGAGAAATCTTTTCACTTTCTGTGTCGAGGGGTATTTGAACTCTACACTCGGCAGCTGTAATGATGATGATGATAATATAAATTATTACTTAATTGTTGTGTCGCACTAATTCTACTTTAAATTAACTCCCATTTTATCTTAGAATTTTCCGTTAAAAGTAAAAGACATACATACCTGACTAGTAGAAATTCTCATATGAGCACTTCGGTGGAATCCAGCGTCTGAGTATAATTTTGGTACGTCTATACCATTTTCAATTGCAGTTAACTTTAACCCGAGTAGATGTCTGTCAACGCCAAAGCCTTGCAAAGCCTGCAAAAAAAAAATTATCTTACCTCAAATGGAACATCATTGCTTGGACGTAAAAATTTTACCTATAATGGCCATACTCCACATCGCATATCGTTAGTCATAGTGTTGGTAAAACATTGCTTGCAGATATTATAAATATGTTACTCATATGTTAGATCTAATATTTCACTTATATATTAGAAAACTTTGTACCGAAATTATAAATCTTGATCTATCATGGTGAAAGATAACATTCCTTAATTGTTGGTCTTAATTCTGATACTGGTAGTTTTGATGAATTTTGACATGTGACCAAAATAGTTCAATTGTTACATTTTTATATTCACGTTGTAATTTATTCGACGCATAACTTTTAACTGACGATTGAAAAATCGGCCTATAGAAATTCAGTCCTTTTTACCACGTTTTTATTAAGGAAATTTCTTGTTTGTCTGTCTGTTTTGTTACTCAAATTTCAAACACTTCCCGATGAGTACGAGACTTGTAATTTTGAACATAGCTCAGAATCGGATGACAATGTAAGAATATGAAAAATGTGGTATATTAATTTTTTTTAGGTACAAATTAAAAAAATCATTTGTCCACTCACTAATAATAATTTGACATTCTTAAAATTCTTAAAATAAAAAATGTGTCTGTATACTTGTTACAGTATAAAATGTACTATACTAATGTTAAAGACTCTGCTCGCGGTGCAATAAAATGGGGAAACAGGACGCCGCCTGTTGCGCTATGCGCCCTCTGTCGCACTTATAGCTGGCCTGCCGTAAGGCCCGTAAATATAAGCGCAAGAACGCACTAGCTGCTGGCCGTGATGCGGCATACACTTCGATTTTTATATGAAACCGCATGATGTCAACGCACTGACTTGCGGCCAGCCGTCAACCGCTCCGGTTGTCTTGGGGCCGCCGCATCCTCTCCACGCACTGACGATGTTAGCCGCAAGCTGCTTCATGTCATGGATTTTGAACAAGAAACACAGAACAGAAAAGTTCATTTTAGAAATCACAGAAAGCATTTGCTATATGGGATAGCAAATGCGCTCATTATTAAACACAATAACTGCAGCAACTTATTCGACGTCCATTATGTTGAATATTTCTTGAAGCACTGACAATCGCGGCGGACCGTAATAGACCCGAGACCACAGAGTACATTATATATAGGGAATAGAGTCATCACTTAGAATCGTAGCATTAGCGCCATCTAGCGATATACGACGTCCCTACAGCCCAGCGACGACGTAGGATGCTCTATATTACAATATTTATTATTTATTTTCAAAGTAATTTCCAAAAGTCAAACCATTTTAATATTGATTTGACTTTTGGAAATTACTTTGTATACAATATAATTTAGGCAAATAAAACAACTGTTTAGCGGTTGGATGTTTTTTTATAATGCTTCCTTTTATTATAATAGTACATAACAACATCTCTCAAAAGAAGCCACAATCCAGGTCAACAGAGCACAAATAGTTAAGCAAATCAGGGTCCAGAGTTTCATGCGTAAGTGCAACGAAAAAGGCGAAGTCTTCGGAGTCCGGGAATCAAGCAAAGTTGTTAAAGTTTTATAAACACAAACAGAGCACATTCACAAACCACGAAAGGAAATGTAATGACAAACAGACAAATTAAATTACGTTAAATGAAGTTACTAGTTTTACACTCACACAAACTACTAGTTTTAGTTTCTTTTGTTTTTAATATTGTATGTATAAAATAAAATTAAATATACCTAAATGACATTTGTAACATTGACAGAGTGACAGACCGAAATTACCATAGATCTCTCCCTCCGGCTCTTGCCATAGATAAACGGAGAAAACAATTTGCAACGGCGAAATCATAATAATTCACTTGAATAAATGTAAAATAAATAAATTACACTAAAAAATTTATTTATTTTACATTTAATTACAAATTTGTTTTGTAACAAAATAGTAAGTTAGCAAGGTTCGATTATATTTTGAACTATTCATTAATTTGTTTGATTCTTAATTGACCTAGCATGGCTAAATTTAAAAAAAAGCGACATCTACTGCAACGGGGACAAACTGTCTTTGACATATTAATACCTCTAAGAAAAATTATAGTATGGACTGTTATGCCACTGCCCGAGACGATACGGTTAAGGATGATTCACGCTACAACGTGGCGCGGCCGGGCCGTGCCCCGGCCGGGGCACGGTCAAACATTATGGTGTACTATTTGTATGAAGCGATTCATGCCTGACCGTGGCCCGGCCGTGGCCCGGCCGTGCCCCGGCCATACGCCGCCGGGACTCGGCCGGAGCACGGCGTTGAAATGTCGGTGGGTATTGTTTCCCGGCTCCGGCACGGTCCGGCCCCGACACGTTGTAACATGAACATATGCGCCCGGGCGCCCGGAGAGCAGTCAACGTCAAATCTTAGTGAAGTGAGCAGCTCAACAGCAAAATGGACGATGAAAAATTATTAGAATATGTGCGCAAGTACCCTGTGATTTACGATATGAGCCATCCTAAGTATTTAGATAACAAATACAAAAATATGATTTGGAAAACCATTTCGGACGAAATAAAACAATCTGGTAAGTTGTAACCATAGAATTATTACGCATAGAATACTAGTACGCGCACCGAAAGTGAAGCAAGTAAAACTAACTCGAAACCGCGTTAGTTGACTCAGGGACGAGTCAGTGCGCAACGTCACGTCTTACGGAGGAGAGCTCGCGAAGAATTGTGAAAATTACCATTTATGTTGTAAAATATTGTCACAACGGTGATGATAAACATAAAAGAAGTAATGGTATTACATTTCACATATAAGTTTATACATTTAATTCATTATAAGTACGTAAAACTAAAAAAATACTTACGTAAGCTCTCATAATACAAATGTTGCTAGTTGTGGGGAAAAAATCACAATTTTCTTTTAAAAATATTTATTTTCTATTTGTGTTTAAAACGTTTAATCGCAACGCTCTGTGTAAAACTCAAATGTTTATATATACTACCTACTTCTCTAAGTGTTAACATTATATTAACAATGGGTGCCTATTTAAAACTAATACGGAATGATCAGTTAATCGCGATTCGTTGACGCCATTTTAACGCGACTATTTTATTTTAATTGCTTTGCTTATTGACTAAGGTTACGTTTTAGAGTATAGAATATAAACTTTTTTATTTACAACATCATGAGATTATTAATAAGAATGCCTTTACTAACCAGATGTCACTTTACACCCAAACATAAACCAGATGTTACGTTAGACCCAAACATAGCCTATTTTAACCGACTCCCAAAAAGAAAGGTTATCAATATGTATGTACACTGATTTCTAAGCTTGATCAATTCGTATATACATGCTGAAATTTTAGTGGTTGTTGTCCCGCAGCCAAATTATACTGTCACTATAGTACGAGTAGAGTCAATTTATTAAATTAAAAAATATTACAATTAAAAAGGGCAGATTTAATATAGTAATACCTCACAAGCTATTCGGGCGTCCAGAGAGTTCATGTTATGAACATTTATTAGTGGTCCTTCACTGTGTAGGAAGCGCGCGGTAGCACGTGCGATAGACATAACACTACATTACGTCCAGCGAATTTTTTTTCAGACTTTATTATAGTAATTCGATATAAGCTAGCCTGTACGCCCGACCTACTTGCGAGATATTGCTATTGGTTTGAGATCGCATTCGAGTATTGTTTTTCTCGATTGTAAATCTGCCATTTTCACATCTAATCTATTGTACTACTAAGGCAAAATCATTTTACTTCGGGAAAACAACCATTAAAATTTCAGCGTGTGTATTGGATCAATCTGTGTGTATATCCTTTAAAAAAAATCTAAATCGGTTTAGAGATTGTAGAATTCTAAGGTAAAAAACATTAAAAAATACACCGAAATGATAACCTCCTCCCTTTTTGAAGACGGTTAAAATTAAACATTACACGATGTGCTTATTGTATTCGAGCAAATTAATTGTGTTTAATAATATTCTTAAATTTTATTACGTCTGCATTTTTTACCATTAATATATGTATAATAAAGTTATATTAGTAACATCATTATCGTGTTTATTTTATTCCATTTTATATTCTCATAAAATACTTCTACTAAATAATCTTCGTACGTAATACGTAATCTTTATTATATCGATTTTTTAAAATTAATCAAGAAATAGTGATTTGCACAATTTGATCGCAAACGCCAGAAACTGGTATCACTGAATGGCGTGTATGTGTGCGTGTGACGAGCGTAGGCACATTCGACTCGCGCCCACTAACATAATGAATTTGCATCATTTTAACGCTCGTGTTTTGTACTGGACTGCGTTTCTATGCGTAATAATTCTATGGTTGTAACTTTTATTTCAATTTACATTTATAATAGTTATTCAAGTGTCACTAATTACTTTACGACAACATGTAAGTACATGTGAGTGGGATTATCGGTTTTTAGTAGGTATTTTAGAATATGTTAGGTAAATTATAAGAAGTATATTATAGTGTAAGTATGTATTTATTCTTGATACTGTTGTCCTATAAAATTACGTCCCGCTGTTGACGCTAAATATTCTTTAAACGTTTCTCTTACCGCAAATGCATCAGTAGCCGGTCTTCCTGGTTGAACGCTCAATGGATTTAATAAATGTGGTTGCGCATTTTGTGCACTATGATTGATAAGCCCTGTGTAATCCTTTTGTTCGCATAAAAAATTATGCAGTACGCATGTAGATAGAATAATGTAATCAACATTTTCTGGAGCAAGTTTCATTTATTCTCTGAAATATTCTAAATCTTTGTGTCAAAATACCAAAGGCATTTTCGACTAGTCGCCGGGCCAAAGACAGTATATGATTGAAATTCGTTTTATTAGCGTCACCTGTTGCTTGGTGTCCTGGATACGGTCGCATTAGGTATGTTTTCAAAGGAAACGCTTCATCACCAACTATTACATATGGTGCAAACGTAGAGGAACCGGGTAAATTTTTACCAATAGGTACATGAAGCGTCCCATTTTCTAAACGTTTTCCAAGATTACATTGTGCAAAATTGCCACCATCACTGTTTCGTCCGTAAGCGCCAACATCAACTGCAATAAATTTGTAGCATGCGTCCACTAACGCCAATAAAACAATTGAGAATGAGTGTTTATAATTAAAATATATAGAACCACTATTGGCTGGGGCTTCAATAACAAAATGTTTTCCATCCAATGCGCCTATACAATTTGGAAAACCTCTAAGCTTTTCAAAATCTTCGGCAATTTTACGCCACATTTCTTCTGTTGGTTCTGGTATAACGTCTTTCTTAAATCTTTTAACGATAGATCGACATGTGCTATGTACAATTTCGGTCACAGTTGAATGCCCCAATCGAAAACTGTACGAAATAGTTTTAAACGAATCCCCAGTAGCCAGGAACCTGAAAAAATAATAATGGTATAATTTCGCGGTATCTGTGTACTACAGTGAGCTATTACGTATTAACAGTACCATTTATACAGGTTGTAAAGAAAATTACTTAACTTGTTCATTCTATACTATCTTTTTGCAGATGATGTATGTAAAAAAAGGTGGGCAAACATACGGGACCAGTTCAAAAAACATAGAAACAAACGTAAAACCAATAGTGGACAGGGTGCTGTGGCAATAAAAAAATATAAATATGAAGAGAGCTTGAATTTTTTACTGCCTCATATACAGGATCGAAATACAATAACAAGTATCGAGTCTGAGAACGAAGAGACGCAAAACGAAACGGTTACTTCGCCAGTTACTACGCCCAACGAAACAATTAACACCGATGAACAGCAGCAGCAGGAAGATCGCTCACCAGCTATTAGTGAACCAAATTTTACGCCACCTGCTGATCCGAATCCATATCCCCCGTCAACTGCACAATTCACTCGTTCCGGCAACCGCAATCGCAATGCAACCGTTGCAACTGCACACAATCGCCGTCGTATAGTGCCACAATCCCAGTCCTCTGCGTCAAGCGCATTAATGGAATACATTCTAAAAAATAAAGAAAAGTCCAACACACAAGACATTCATCCTATTGATGCTTTCTTCAACGGTTTGGCAGCCACCATAAAATCTTTTTCCCCTTACTATCAGCATCTTGCAAAAGGAAGAATATTTGCAGTAGTACAAGATTTGGAGAGGGAGCAATTGTCATCAGAGCCTTCTTCTTACACATCTCCAATGAGTGGAACAACGTCAGCGTCGTCTACTAATTCAAGGTCGGTGTATGCACCGGTTCCGATGACTACACCAACGCCAACACCGGAATCAACGCCTACGGAACCTACGCCTTCGGAACCTTCGCCTTCGGAACTTACGCCTTTGGAATCTAATAATTTGTCTACTTTATTTTCAGAGTTCACGGCAGACTAATGAAATGAATAAATACTATGCGAATTATTTAAATTTTTACTTTTTTTCATTCACAATGCAATTTTGATTATTGAAAAATTGAAAATGAAGTATTTAGAAAAAATCGACCCATCTTACAACCAGCTCTGATAGATGGTTGTGAGACGGGTCAATTTGTAATACTACATTTTTAAATACTATGTGATTTAGTGCATATCAATTTATTATTTACCTGATGCAGACTGCTAATCGTTCGATGGGAGATATAGGCTTTTGAAATCTTGTAATTTTTTTGGTTAGGTCTGGTTTTACTTTTTCAAGTAAAAAAGTAAAGCATTCTTTAGACATTCTAAAATAACCATAAAACGTGCTCTCATCATCTATTAATTCTTTGTAAAGTAAAGCAAATTCTCCTTCTGCTTCTCGCTTTCTCCAGGTTGGATGTACACCCCATCTTCTTTTAGTAGTTTCGCTTCGTTTTTCCAATACTTCATCATCGACGGCAATTGCAATAGCTGCCAATTCAAATTGTGAAAATTGCATATTTATGTAAGCGTGAAGTCAGTCTATCGACAGATGAAATCACTAGCTGACAAAAACCACATAACACAGAGTCGTGCATAAGCCACGGTCGTGCAAACAGCCCGGTGTAACATGAATGACTGGCCCGGCCAGCGCACGGTGGACGTGTCCCGGCCGGGCACGGCCCGGTGGCGACACGTTGTAGCGTGAATCATCCTTTAGCCGGAATACGGCGTGCTGTTGCGGCAGACCGTATAAACTGCAGCCTGCCGCAACGACTCACCGCATCACGGCCAGCCGCTAGTGCGTTCTTGCGTCTTTTCGTTAACCCTAAATACATGAGTTTTGTGTCCGAGCATTTTGTGTTTATAGGGTTTCTTTTAGGACCGATTTTTTGATCCTCAGATAAGAGGTCTAATGCTTATTTGGCATTTTACTGTCGAATTATTGGTTGACTATTTTTTAATTATGATTTATTATCTCACGAGTAGCTATCTCAAATAATTATTGCACTATAGCAACGCTAAATTCTGGGAGGTGAAACATATTATATAAGAAAACGTTAGAGAAAAACAACCCATTTCTATTCTAGGTGAAGCAAAAATGTCACTACCAAGTATCAGTTTAAGTTCGAGGTTATGTTTTCCTAGTTATTGTTTGCGTGGTTTGTATTATCCTCATTTTTTTGTATTTCATATAAAATCGCATCAGAATCAAAGAAAAGAAAGCATTTGGCGAATTTTAATAATGCCGAGTTTCTTCCTAGTCATAATAGCGTTATTTGTTGTATGTTTAGACGATTGAAAACTTGTTACTTTTGTGTTTTGTACAAGATTTTATTTCTTATCATGGCAAGTAAATATTGCACATACTCTTTTAAAACTTTGACTAGACGGTTTTTGAGTACCAGTGACTAGGCCTTATATGTGACTTATTTTTCTTTTAGGTACATTTATTAATTAATTTATCAGAAACTCCTTCTCAATTGCCAGATATTCTATATTATATAAGTATCAGTTTTATACAAAATATCCAAACCCATACATTTAATGTAACTTTATTATAAACGCAAGATAAGTAAGAAAAGTAAAATGGAGAAATGTTTTGTTTAACGTCATCTGTCATCGAATAAAATAAATAATGTCGAATAACGTATGATTATCTTCTCAGAACAATAACTCGGAGGTTATTCAGTCGTCAAAACTGACATATACATTAATTCCCCCTATTAACTTATATATTACTGCGTAAGGAATGGGTAGACCTGAAGTGCGGATCGCGCGTTTAAATGGCGTCACTAAATTTTTTCTAGTGGTTTTCTTTAGAAAGAAGTGAATTAGTCGTAAATAAAAATTCACTGACCAGACCATGAGCACTATTAGTTTTGAAAAAGCCAAAATCAATTAACAGTTTACCTATTTTTTTATTTTCCCACTTTTTGTAAAGAATAAAACTTCTCTGAACCTGCACATACACAGTCAGTCAGTTGGCGTTAGTGTAGGATAATACTGTTACGCACACTGCCAGAGCGATTCTGACCCGTTTTTAAAGTCATTATTACAATTTATATAAAACTAGTTTTTTGCAGATTTTATCGCGTAAATTAACTTATATTGGTAGCACCCAGCCATCTATATAGCCTAGAAATTGGGACGTCGTACACCTCAGCCCTCCCGTGATCATGGGTGCTGTAAAGTACTCGAAACGTCAGGAATGCAAAGTAAGTTAATATAAAATCCGTTAGTATAAAAAAAGCGATAATATCCGTAAAAACTGGTTTTATTTAAATGTGTAGTGTTCGCGTAAACGTAAAAAATAATTATTACAAGGCCATGTGGAGTCTAGACATGTATATTATCAAAGTTCCGTAGCTCCAATGCCGCAGATTACACGCAATATCGACGACGTGTATATGACGGTAATACACAAGCGTCAGTAAGCAGTCAGTATTACAGAAGGTCGTGGGTTCGAATCCGCCATTCGACTAACTGTCGTGAACCACTTCAAACACAAGCATTTTAAGCTTACCAGATGTGGTTTAAAGGAATATTAGTAATGTTTAATAGCATTATTAGTGTTAAAAAAAAGACGTATATGGAAATATAATTATTTTTACCTGTACAGTGTAATCCTTGTGAGCTTTAATAGCTTTGTTCATGCTGTCCAACTTGGCTTTCGGAGTCATTCGCTCATCGAGCATGGTCCTGGCGAATTCGACGGATTCTACCGAGCACGAGCGGATCGTCTCAGTTCGTCCGCCAGCGTACATACGTGTGGCTGCTGACTCATAGTGAGCGCCGGGAGTTTTGTGAAGCCTAGATTTATTATTTATAATTATATCATTAATTTAATCTAAATTGCTCCTATTAGTTGGACTTTCTTTGTGAGTCAGTTTGAATAGGTACCACCCTCATATCTATTTCTATTCTATTGTGAGTAGGGCTGATAACGCATCTGACGCCTTCTTTGTTTGAGATTGGCTGCAAGTGTCCATGGATTGCTGTAGCCATTTACCATCAGCTGAACTATAAATTCATTTAGCAAAATTAGTTTAATTAAAAAAAAAATGTTAGATTTCTCTTCCCAAAATTGCATCAGTTGACATTCACTTGAGAAGAGTTGTTCAGTAGGTTTAAGTCAGAATTTGGTCAGACACGTGCACGTACGGCGCGGTGTTCTCAAATATATGAAGGACATTTTAATATTTAGGGTTCTATTCTCGCGCTTTGTAATGGCTTTCTCTCTTTCTATCTATTTTAATAAAACTTTCTTAAAAATAAAAATAAACTTAAAACAAATATTTCTAATGCTGCATCTGAGCCCATCCTATAAACTTATAAAATAACAATTAATAGCATCAAATACGAGTACCGTATGATGAAATTAATACGATGAATTCTTCTGTGTTCTGCATCAATAAAGGTAAAAGGTCATACAGTTCATTATTTCATTATATTAGCTTTCAATAATATTAGTTTTTTATAGCTGTGGTCAAATTCAATAAGAATATCATCAATGAAACTGATTTTTATAGGCATTTATCAAGAGTTATCAATAATTTAGCGTTTGCTATGGTACACCGTGTATCAGACAAGCTCATTGTATCCGATTTATGGAATATTATAATGTCTGATGTACTTATTGAGTTTTCTTTTTAATAATTTAAAATTACATACAAAATATATTATAATATTTATATTATTTATTTTTGTATACTTATTAGGAAAAAAATGTTTGCGCTACAGGAATTGCAATAATTGTATGTAATGATTTCTTTGTGTATACAGACACAATACTTAAAGATGTTAGGTAACTTTTTTTAACTTAGAAGTTATGTCAATAAAAAGTAATCAACATTGATTGAATAAAACTAATTTTACGGATTTTATCGCGTTTAACTTATTTTTATTAATTCTCGACGTTTCGGGTGCTTTACAGCACCCATGGTCACGGGGGACTGAGGTGATTGACGTGCCGATGTCAGAGTTAACCCGGAGTACCTTCAGCTTTTTAAAAAAGTGACCATGGGATGCTGTAAAGCACCCGGAATTAATAAAAAAAAAGTAAAAATAAGTAAATTAAACGCCATAAAATCCGTAAAATTAGTTTTATTCAATCTGTAGTGTTCACGTAAATATAAGAAATCATTATAATCAACATTGATGTTTGTATTAGGCATCAAGGTAGATTTTAAGGAAAAAATAAAAGCTAAAAATTATCGATATTCGATGTCAACAAAGTTATAACTTTGCCGACATTTATTTTTAATACGAGAAAAACGTTGAAGATCATATATTTATATAGAAAGGGTACAACTTTTCAAAAATTAATAAATTCATATTAAATTTTAAACGTAGAAAGGGCAAAGTAAAAGAAACTTATAAAAATAAATTTAATACATAACATGAACAATCATATTTTAAATATGTTACTAAAAACATCCAGATGAAATTCTGCCATTATTCTTTGGTACTTACTGCATACAAAAACAATATAAGTATATATTAATTTTTATAAATTGTATTGTTCAATGTATTATGCATTTACATACCTGTAAAATGCGTACTGCATAGCCATTTGCAAGTAGCTGTCTGGACTTAGTTTCTGTGACTTGATAAAGTTTTTACCGTATCTATCAAATGTAAAGCAATTCAATTCCAAATCCGCAACCAATCTGCAACATAGATGTTAATTATAGAATAAAAAACAAAAAATCGAAAATTACTTACTTACTTTACTTATAATTAGTTTATATGACAAAATAGTTCGTTTTAAATTCAGTTTGGTTATAATTTATTCGAGGGACAACTTTTATCTGACGATTGAAAATAAGCTCTTAGTTCAATAACAGCCATAAATAACAAACATCATCTCTTAAAACTCAGTTATTAAAAGTCAGATCCAAAATTACTTATACTACCAGGGCGACGTAAAAAAAAATTGTTGGAAATGTGTAAAAATTAATGTTATTTTTTTTCAACAGATTAGTTATTGTTTATATTAATTTAATTAGGAATGAATAAACTAAACCACGCATGTTCCTAAAAGTAGAAAAAAAAATGAAAGTTAGAAATATCAAAATATTACAGATTACATCAAGGCATTGTATTGTGTTTATACATATACTAGAAACTGAAAGCTTTAATTTAAAACTACTTTTTAATGATGATGACACAGTGTGACAAATAACTTCACCTCAGTTCTAACTAGCGACATCTGGCGAGAAGAAGATTATTAGACCCCATTGACTGATTATAAGTTCATCCATCAATACACTTGTAAAGTATGGTCGGCAAGAGTTGATAAATACTATGAAAACGTCTCGCAATATCGACGAATGTCGCTTAATGATCGCAATCTGTGACAGGCTTCGCTTATCGGCGCAAGCACAGTTTTGAGGTACAAGGCTTGCTAATGTTGCAAAGCGCGAGCCCGGCGGCCATCGATATATATGTACTACGCACTAGATTTCGCATTCCGAACATCACTGTGTTCAACCGAACTGTACTGCAATCCGTACACCTTACGAGTACTTTAGTGTCATTTAGTGTGGCTTCAATATTCATGCAGTGTGGAACGGCGCTAATAATACTAGACTAAAATTTAAACCTGGACGTAAATAACAATTCAGTGGTCATGTAAGTAAAATTATTTGTTGTTCAAGTTAATAAATAGGTAATAATATATCAACTGCGCATAGACATAGAGTAGCGCACATTTTTTGTTTGGAATAGCTTCTCTAGTACGTAGTACATATAACTCAATGCCGGTGGCCATATTGTTATATATCAGTACCAGGAAAAATAATTAGCTGGCCGCGGACTTTAGATAATACCCGACGCACGCAACTAATCAGTTTGGTAGCGTACAGCTTAGTAAACGTAAAACAAGTGAGCGTTCAATTCGAGCGTGACTTTCTGCAATACTTAATATCCCCCAAACTTATTGCATAGCCTTCACATTAGGCAATAGAACAAATGCCTAAGTTCTTTTTATTTTTTGTTGTTTTATTCTATACGACACTTTTGATTAATAGCAGATAATAGCGGCTGTGGTCGAAATTGAGCTTTGTACTACGTGACCAAAACAATTAAGCGCACAACAGCTAAGACTTCACATACGTCGGGAATACCGAAACGGTGATAGGTCCCTAGGGGAAGCGCGGGGAAAGAGGCAGGGTGCGAGCACCGAAACTATATTCCTGTTATACGTCTAAAGCGTCTCCCACACAGAAGCGGCTTGCGGTGGCGGCTAACCGCGGGCCGCGGCTGCAGCCGCTGTAACAACACACCACCGCGGCCCAAGTGGCGGCCTGAAGCGCCATTCGCTGTGGTGTCTGTGCTACGATTGGACGTACGAACATGACAAACCGTGATGAAGTCTTTATTATATTCAGCAATATTATCATATATTTTGTTTTAATAGTAATGCTTTTGTGATCACGATGCGAATTATCATAAAGTACTAGATAATTTTGCACTGTTTCTATTAAAATCTCTGAATTTAGCACCAATTTTCACGCGGTACACGCGGCCTGTTGTAAAAATTTACAACTGACCGCGTACTCGCTAACACACACACGCATTGGAAAATGGGGCGGAGCATGCGGCCGCGGCCAGCCGCTCGCAGGCCGCGCCATGGCCGCATGGGTTTGGAGACTCACTTACATTGCAAGCGAATACAACTGGCCGCCACCGCGGCCGCCACCGCAAGCCGCTTCTGTGTGGGAGACGCTTAATTGTTTTGGCCAAGTAACTATGAACATTTGACCGTGTGGCCGGGATTTCAAAGTAAGTAACTGTAGTTTTGATATAAGATTATACTTTCTAGATTGATTAACAAACCTGTCTAGATTTTTCTGTGCTGTTTTAATCTTGTTGGATATATCAGAGGTAACATTGAAGTTAAGTCTGACCGGCTCCTTAGGACTAGCAGACGCAGGTTCATTGCTAGTTTTGCCCTGATCTCTGAATAAAAGAAAATTGTAGATTTAATTAAACATCAAATTGTAAAAGCTTTAAATTGTAAAAAAACTACTACTTACATATAGTTAATAATAAAATCTGTCAAGACAGCGATAGGTTGTCCTTCGGCCGGTGAATGTTCGTACGTCAAACCAGTGATACCGTCTGCACCCACGATAAACTGTAAAGTAGTCATAGATTCTGATAATACATGAGAGGTGATCCAAAAGTAATGATAATCGGTTATTTCCAATGCACATAAAAAAAAAACAATTTTTTCTTGCCTATGTAGCTATGTACCCACTGGATCAGCATAAAAATCATATAAATAGGCTACGATTCCCGGGAGGCACATTCGACGAATCATCGAAGAGATAACATAAAAATGGATAAAAACGTATATGGAGCTATTATCAAGTACCTGAGTTTAAAAAAATGTCTACCAAAGACATATACACAGCGACTTGGTGGAAACATTGGGGGACTCTGCGCCTCCATATTACACATTTGCACGCTGGGCCAAGGACTTTAATCTGAGCAGAACATCCACGGAAGATGAACATCGCGAAGGACGCTCATCCACATCCCTCGGAAACGAGCCTCCTCACCGATGCCGAAGAAATTAAAAGTGTCAAGATGGCGCTGGAGGAATAATATGGTGGAATATTTGGAAAAGGGAACCGCTATTTCGCCCCCCCCCCCCCCCTCCCCCACGCGACAAGCTGCGAGCTGGAGTGCTGTATCACTATGAAGCTCACAAAGCCGCACTTTCAATGGCTGCCAATCAAGAAAGGGGATTTAAATTGCTCGAACACCTGCCCTATTCGCCAGGTCTAGCTCCCAGTGATTCTATTTATTTCCTCGCCTAATGGTACACCTTCGAGGTAAGAAATTTGCAGACGATAGCGAAGTGTCCATCACTTCGCTATCGTCGCTGTTGAGGCTTTCTTGGAGGGTCAAAATAAAGATTTTTTCTTCTAAGGGAATTCTGGGTTTACAAAAAAGGTGGACTAAATATATTGACTTGCCAGGAGACTATGTAGATAAATAATTTATTTTTAAATATGATCACCGTGTTTAATATGCATTGTCATTATTTTTGGATCAACCCTTGTAGCAGTCCTTTGTTGTTTCGATATTATAATAAAATTAAAAGGATGGGCGTTTTTTCTTTCTCAGAATATGGCGTCTGGTTGTCGCCATATTAAATTTTGAATACCGTCATGTCTTAAGTGATACAAGATTAAGACAAATCGATTGATGTAAGAATCATAAAATCGGCCCATGGGTTTGGTCTCTAGAGCGTCACAAAGGAACAAACTTACATATATAGGCTGATAAATACATTACCCTCCTTTGCGTCGTGCATTCTGGTAAAAAGAAAACAGAAATTTTAGGTTTTCTAACTTAAAACGCTTATGCTAGGGGTGGTAGTAATCCGTAATAACCCGTCTTTGTCCCAGTGATGCTGATATGCATATGCATTGAAAATATGTGGCCCTATGAAAAATATAGATGTCAAGTTTCAAGGTGGCATCCACCGGTGGCCGAATGAAGTAAGAATGAAGAAACAACTACCGTTTAGATCTCTGAAATGTACCAGACTAAATCAACAATAATGAGAATTAAAATATGCACGAATACCTGCACAGTTTTGTCGAACCAGCGGTTGCCGCCGTTGCTTTGCGTACCGCCGCCATGAATAGTCTGCGCGGCGGCGAGACTCTGCCGCGCAGACTTGTCCGGACAATTCCATAATCCCGTGGGAGCGTCTAAACACAACACCACGAGACTTCTCTCCACGTCTAATAATGACCGTTTGTTTACTTGGTCTGAAAATTTAAATACAATAAAAAAAAATTCATTTCATTTTATTTACCTATTTTAAATACGTACTTTCTTCTTAAAAACGTTACGCCTGCACTAAGATTTTCTCCCATATCAAGAAGGGTGTTTACATAAATAAATTACACAAGGACAAACATCTAGACTCGGAACAGTTACTTGTAGAGCATACGGTTACTTGCACAATGCGGGATTTGAACCCACGGTCTGCACCACTGCGCCACGGACTGCCTTATGTATTATATAGCTATAACTATTGTCAATAGTAGAACTCTTTACCTATATGTAAAGTCAGCAGCAGTACACTCACTAACATTTCAACTCAACGCTCATTTTTATGAATATTTCAGATGTATACCTTTACAGAGTGCTTGATACGCCTCTGCCCAATTATCTCGATTGTCTGATGTAAGCACGCCAATTGCTTCGCTCGTTGCAGTTGCAGAAAGTTCTATAACTTTTTTTAACGCCTGCACGATTTGATCCTCGCTTAACCTTTTGTTATCATCACCCCAAAGGTCCACGTGGAAAATCTATGTATAAAGGAATTTGTAATCGTAAGTAAGCTAGAAAATAGGATTATTTTCATATAAAGTCAGTGTTATATTACAACCAAACTCAACTCTCGTATTGTCTTTGTCATTGTCAGCATAATGTGTAAGCCTACTAATTCCACTTTTGATCTAGTATTACATTCATACCATACCTATCAACGCCAATAGTTAAATCAGCCAATTAAACTTTACGTTAAACGTTTTGTAAGCTTTCTTTAGGAATTTAACTGAATACTGGCGCTTAATATTCGCTGTTGGCTTATGAAAAAATACGAGACAAGTGATTTTCCCATTCATCAAAATTCATCATATACTGTTAATACATATTACAAAAACAAATAACTCTATTTGTGATTTGGATTGACACATGTCCCTACTTGTTACACTTATAATGATAGTTGAAATTACAGGCCTAGAATTTCACGACATTGAAATTTAAGTGAAACAAGTACACTTGTCAAACGAAATCACAAATGAAGATGAAGATTGTGACTATTACTTAGGGTTTTTTTTCCTCAGATAAATTATTTGTCAACCTAACGAATAAAATTGCTGCTGAATAACTGTCCAAAAAGTGGTTGCCTATTTTCAAATTAACATTTATCTCACAAACTATCCACGACCAATTAACTATGGTTTATGAAGAGTCTGATCTTATTCGCCATTTGTCTTAGGGCATTTTCAGATGACCCGCGCCGACCACGCACAGGACTTGTACACGCGTTGTACCCGCCTTACACTCACGCTCGCCACGCGCAAAGTTAGCGCACGCCTCGCGTCCGCTTATACAACTAGTGCAGTGATCTAGTGGCTTCCAGATGTCACAACATCACCACGTGTGCAGCAAAGTGGATACGACTAAGTTAAAAAAGTTATAATTGCATACTATATGTATAAACGTATGTAATACTTAATAACTTTCAAGGGTTTTGTCCCACAGTACGTCCTTTTCCTCCACTAAAGAAATAAATGTTTCTTTATCGATATCATCCATTATTATTTAATTAAAAAAACTACCAAACCACTAAACTTGATCACAATCAAAACAACACCTTCAGAAGCGCGGGTGCAAGGCGTAGCGGGACGGGTGCAAAACGTGTGCGGGGCAGCGCGAAGCGAAAACGAGGCGGGCGCGAGGCGGGCGCGTGGCGTGTGCGAGGCGTGTGCGGTTGAACGTCGATAAATGCAATTTCAGATTTATTTATGTGTCATAAGACTCAAATTATATGCAACAAATTTCAAAGCGGGTCGCGCGTGGCGTGCACGTAGCGGGTGCGTGTCGTCTGAACGTGGCCTTATTGTTAAACTTGACATTTGCTGGCATTCCACGGCAGGTTCGCTTTTTTCCCGCGGGGCTTCTGTATTAAAACAGATTGATCTTAAAACCTAAAACTAATAATTATAAACTATGTATTTTTGCAATAAAACTGTGTCCGTTAATCTGAGTACTAAAAATCGGCCAAAAGCTTATATTTTATCATGCTAAACATTTATGTTAAATGTGTAGCATGATAAAATATAAGCTTTTGTAAGTCGTAATTTTTGTTACATTTATAATACAAAATTACTAACGTAAGATTTACTTACACATGCCTTATTAATTTTACTATATCATTAAAAAAAATCTAGACTTTAGAAATAAAAGCATTGAAGATTTTAAGGTAAATTAAGTTTTTAATTTTTTTAATAGTCTACCAATACTACTGGCACATAACATTAATTGCACATAAACTATACTAGCATCTAAGTAAAACATGTACCTACTTAGTTCCGACTTCCGATTGATGCAGGTACTCTTTAGTCCGTTATCTTTATATACAAAAACTACGTGTCACATTGTTTGTCCGCGATGGACTCCTAAACTACTGAACTGATTTCAATGAAATTTTGCACACTCTGTGCAGTTTGGTCCAACTTAGGATAGTTTTTATCCTGAAAAGTGACACTCAATTATTTTTTATATGAAGTGTCGTCGAAAAGGGCAGAACAACGTCTGCCTGGTCAGCTAGTCTACCTATATATTGTGGCAATATTGGGTTGAACTGTCTTGAATATTTAGAAGAATTAATGTTTTGGAAGCATACCAATATCTGATACTCTTTCAAAGTCTTTTACAGATGATCGTCAAAAATAAGCAAGTTTTTAGACTCATAGACTGTATTATTTTGTTAAATGTGCATGTTCTACTCATAAGTGATATCAAACACACTCCCTTATCTGAAAGATTGCCGACGTATCATAACGCAGCACGTTAAAATGGCGTTCACAATGGATAGGGTGCGCGGTGCCCACGGGACAAGCCGTATTGCTATTACGTATTGTTATAACAAACCTAGCGGTACTCATTTTTTTTTATGGAATATAAGTAACAAACGAGCGCACAGTCCACCTGACGGTAAGTGGTTGCTGTGGCCCATAGACCTCTACATCTATCCTTGATTAAGAATCAAAATGCAGATGCGTTTTCAACCTTGAGGACTAAGATGGAATGCCTCGTTCCCAGTAAAGAGTCTCCAGTTCTCTACACTAACCATACGAAACACAGCAGTATTAGGCTGCTATTTCACGCTGGTATTGTGAAGGCGTGAAAAATATTCATTGGCAGATTTCAAAGGCGAATTTTCATGGCTACAACTTCTGATTTATTTTGTAGGCTATTATCTCAGCATATAATAGCATCATCACTGTACACAATTAAACCAGCGACACAGACAATAACTAACCAAAGGAAAAATACACAATAGGTACCAAAACCATCAAATAGCAGTGTTTGCATTGAAGTGTTCCGGTCAAAAGGGTATAGAGAGTCAGTTTAATGAAAGACTTTGAGGTATTCTATCTTAGTCCTCAGAGGTAACAACACTGTAACGCATGTGTAGCCTTCTTTGTTTAAAGTTGGCTGCAGACGTCCATGAACTGCAGTAGCCACTTACCTTCAGATGGACTGTTAGTTTGTTTGTCACTTTAGTTTTATTAAAAACAAAAAGGCAATGGGAAGTTGTTTCTGATAATTAAGTGTGGTGATAAGGGAAATCTTTAAGCCCTATAATGGGGAAGATTGTATTGAAAAAATGTAAATAAAAATGACCTTACATGGTTATTATGGCATATTGTGACATATTTGCTATCATTGAATGATAATTTGTCCCGTTTTTCACCAGGAATCCTGCATGTTCCAAAGATTTTTTTGTACTGAGCCATATCTAATGGGCTTTTACCCATCATCTCAACTGGAATTTTGTCTCTGAAAATTACAAAGAAAAATGTCAACATAATGTTACTAAAATGTAACAATTATAATATTTTAGATTAGATATGTTCTTACCAATTACACTATAAAGATGTAAGAGGATTTTAGAATTGTTTAATTAAAATGAGCTATTAACTTACTCATCTATTAAAGCTTTGTAGTCCAGAGCAGCTAATAGTGTTTTTGCAGCATACTGCAACTGCTCATGTTGACTATTGAACTTTCGAAATGGAAATACTAAGCCTGGACTGGAGAATACAACAACAGGATTTCTATATTCTAAATATGCACTGTTTAACCACCACTCTTCAAGCCAGTTCAAGTGCTTCTCTGCTTTTTTTTCTAAAAGGCTCTGAAAAATAAAATTCCTTCAACATTTGCATGTGCAATGCACCATATAATAAGTTTTTTCAGTAAAATATCTTTATTTACCTGTAATTTTACTCCAACTCCGCCATGGGAGCCAAATTCTTTTACAAGATTTGCTGTAACCACAAATTCTTCATCATTCAGGAATGGCCTTACTGTCTTAAGATACTTTGACAGTGTATCATTAAGTTTCGGTACTGGCAACCTTGGAAGGTTTAGATTAGCATTTCCTTTTGCAGATGAGTAGTTACTGAATAGTTGAAAAGAACTTACATATGGTTCTAAAGTTAAACCTCGGTAGCCACACTAGAAATTAAATAAATTATAAAATTGATAATTATTATATCAAATGGGCATATTAGAAATTTAAATCTTCACACAATAAATCCATACTTACAAGCTTAATGCTACGAATCATGGTAGGTTCCTGCAATGAAAATATGAGTACCGTTTAGAAAAATTATCAGTAGACAAATCTCATAAGAAAAACTAGAAAATACACATTCTTATTACATAACTAGCTGTCCCTCGTGACTTCGTCCGCATGGAATTTACTACGATTTCAAGGGTTTTAAATTTTTTGCACGGAACCCGGATTCTTTTTCTAAAATAGAAGTATCCTAAGTTACTCCTTATAACATCAGCTATCTGCCAGTGAAAGTCCCATCAAAATCGGTCCAGCCGTATCAGAGATTAGCCGGAACAAACAGACAGACAGACAGACAGACAAAAATGTTGGAAATTGTCTTTTTATTATTAGTACCGTTTATACTTTCAAAATTTAGTAAAAATCTGTTATTTTAACATTACAAACAGACACTTCAATTTTATTTATTTGTATAGATTTTCTCAATTGTTGGTGGCTGAATATTTGAATGCCGCCCTGTATGTCATAGGTATGACTCACACAAAGAATAAGATTTTGTATGGTATACAAATTATTTTTAGGTCTGGGTGTTTGTTCATACGTAATTTATATAAAATGGCTCTATAATTATGGAGAAGCTCATGTTTGTTCATGTAGTTGGTAATAAAATAAAGAAATATTTACTTGCATATATTGCTATATCACTATCACAATTTCTTTGAATAACAGGAAAACTATAGCATATAAATTAACAATCTGTTTTTTTCATTCATTAATTGATATGACAACCTATCTGAAGTTCAAGATTACCTCACAAGGAAGATATTCTCCATAGTAACCATGCTTGGCACACTGGTTGCCAACCACAGTTTTTTATTATCTTGAATTGTTATCATGAATAAGCTGCTGTTCATTTCCTGTTCTATTTTCCACTTGTTGCTTCTTATGATACATGATTTTTTCAGTTTTATCCTTGTTAAATTTTAATTCAACAAGGATAAAATGGACAGTAATATCTTTATTAACACTAGCAACTAGCTATAAAATAATATGCTTAACATTTATACTCAAAACACAGGATAAAATAAAGCACCAAGGGTACAATACATAAAGTTGATAACAGTACCCTTTTAACTCGGGTTAGGATTGCTTCCAGACAAAAAACATTTCAATACTACAACAATTCATACGTGGTAGAGCGATGTTGCAGCTACATTATGGTTTAGCACAAATTGGTCGACTCGACCAGAGTAGTACCATGCTCTCACAAAATATCACCATAAAATAGCAGCATAATACTGCTGTGTTTCATAAGGTGAGTGTAGAGAACCAGAGACCTTTTTTACTAGTAAAGAAGCATTCCATCTTAGTCCTCAGGGGTGACAACGCATCTGAGTTTTGATTCTTAATTGAGTATAAATGTAGATGTCTATTTTCCACACCATCCACTTACCATCAGGTGGACTGTGTGCCGGTTTGTCACGCTTATACTATAAGCAAAACATGTGATAAACAGTAAGCAATTCATGAAGAGCTTTGCAGTGTTAACTATGATAATCTATATATAAATAAAATTGAAGTGTCTGTCAGTAACATTGAAATATCTGGCTTCTATTAAGCTCAATGTGTTATTTACTTAATATAAAGACCTGAATAATCTTTTTAAAATTTCGTGTCTGTCAGTTTATCCGGGATAATTTTCAGAATGGCTCAACTAATTGTGATGAAACTTCACAAACAGATAGAGGGCAATGCCAAGAGTGATCAAAGCTATATTTTATCCATAAAAACAGGCAGGGTTTTTGTGTAACTGAGTAAACAATAAAATAAACTTTAACCATTTCATGTTTTTGATAATTATATCTATAATCTTTAAGATATATATTTTATAGTTTAAGAGATAATGTTACCTTATATAAAGATAGAAAATAAAATATGTCTTAAAACTTAAAGAAGTTTTGATGCAAATGGAAAATCTTACAGAACAGTCTTACAACAAAATTGAGTGTCAAATTAAGATAAAGTGACATTTATTATGTGAAATTAATAAATCCCCAATTTTTCATTTTAAGCATTTTGTTTTCTTGGACATAACTTTTGCGATGATGATTTTAAAAGTTATAGTGATTAAACTTATATTTGTGAAATTAATAGATCTTTAGTTTTTATTTTAAAATTTTCTTCTTTATTGCACATAGATCTTGTGATAATAGCAAAAAACTGAGTTGAAAGTGGTTTATAGATAATTGAAATACTTGCCCTAAGTCTATTATTATAGTCATGCAGATTTTTTTTGTTTAAAGTTCTATGCAGACATAGTCACACGTAAAAGCTAGTAATTTAAAGATCATCATCATCAGTCAAACATCAATCATCATATTCATGAAATGATAATGAAAAGAAAGAAAATGTCACAAAACAGCCACGAGTCACTTGCATTCATGGACATCCTACATATTCCATTTTCATTACTTTTCCCTAATACTAGATTAATGATGATATAAGCATTCAGCAGCGGGAGGTGCCCTGCACTACACTTTCCGGTAGAGGCTGCTCTGTGAGAACCTTTCTTCCCCATCAGTTGTCAGTTCTTCTTGCTATTTGGAGAGTCCATTTTATCACTTTACCTTACTATTTGATGGATTATGTGGGTTATTTTTCTGGTTTTATTATATAGTGCTCAGGTCCTCCTACAATTATACGAAGACCAAGAGGATAATATTAGTAGTTTAAATAAAAAACAGTAGGTGTAGTTCAATAGAATTATGATAATAAAAATAAATGTAAATAATATTATATTATATATATTAGATGTGTGGTAAACATGTCACATAATGAGTTTCTTTCAAGCAATTTTATATCATTGCTTTAAAAGTACATAAGCAGGCAACTTAATTATTAACTGCTGCACCTAAGTCTGTTATGAATTTTCACAACAGCACAGAACGCTATGCAACAACTTAAAAATTATTTATTTATAAAGAAAAAAAAATACTTTCACAAAAATATATTTGAAAAAGATAAGGTTCACTTATTACTTAAATATTCCCTTTCACTTCTCTACCTACCGTTAAACTGAACAACCTTGAGAATTTTTAGTTTAAAAACAAGAAAATAATATTACTTAGATTAAATCGAATGACTTACTTTGTAATTCGAATTGGACTTCTGCACTCTGCTATTAATAGACATCTATACAATATCCTACTGTTGTTATCTATAGATAATGGAATTCGAAAAAGAAAGGTGCCAAGTAGGCTACAATCTTCGACACGAGAGAGTTGTTGCAGCAACCAGACACGTAAACACTAAACATAATCTTAAATGACAACGACTACTAGGTACCACAGAACTGGTCTGGACTACTGTCAGAATATAGTCATCATAATCTGCGTCAACGTAGAAATCAAATGAGGGAAAAAAACAGTAGGAGTATCACTATAAATTATAAACACTAAAATGCAAGGAGTTTTTTAAACTATCTCCAACTTTTATGTGACGGATTGGCTGTAGATTGAAAATAAAACTTACGTGAATGAATCGTGAATACTCGGTGCGCCAATTATAATAAGTAACTTATACCCGCGGGAATACATCAGCGTAGGAGCTAAATAGGAGCTTAATGCATTGTTTACAATTTACATAGAATTATGTTTGTTATACTTCCTATTAGTTTGTGTTATTTACTTTACAGATCTGTATAGTGTGCTTTACTCTGTGGGATTCAGTGGGATTGTGGGGTATGTTCGGAATATGGAGTGTAGTATACTCTACACTCCATAGTTCGGAATAACAAGGAGGCTTAGTTGAGAGAAGCTAGCCATTGAGTGAATGACGACGATTTTCTAATTGAGATTCTGTGTTGAGAATTGAGATTCCATCATTGTTAGATTGTTACTGGATGCATCCCACAAACTATATAGAAACACTACGCGTTGTGCATCCCCTTATCAGTGTTGCCAGACATTTTGAATGAACGATCGTACGATGGGTAAATAAAAAGTCGTATCCGTCCCTAAGAAGGTCATTAAATAAAAATAGTACATACGTTTTTTTAATCTGTTTTATTAAATTATACAAAAATTGAGAATTAAGCATTCAAAATTATTAGTCTTTATCTCCATATAAACTACTAGGACTAGGGCGACTCAGCCCTGCTGTTAGATGTTCGTCCTCCATAATAAACAAGAAAAGATTGATATTTTCAATCAAATACGTGCTATCAAAACAAGTATCAAACTGTTGATAACTGTTCTCAAGAACGACGATAAAAGATCTGTGAAGAAAAGTAAACAAAAAAAAACGCAATGGGTAGTTCGGGTAGTTCTTCAAAATATGCGTTATTATCGGTGCCAAGTTCAAGTTATAACAAGGAAGCAAAATAAAAAAAAATTGCTCCTATGCTTAATAATAAAGTTTCGGATTATTAAATATATATATATATATATTATCCAGATTTTGTTTAGATAATCAACTTTAATTTTCTCATATTACTGGTAATGAACTGGGATTATACGGAAATGAAAAGGATAGAGACGGGAATTACCAAAAAGAGACGGTAATGAACAAATACGAAATATATTTATTTTTATAGATTTTTGAAATTAATAATAATCAAATATAAGTTGAAAAGATATAACATAACTCAAAATGTTATTAATAAAAAAAAGAGGAAATAATAATAATAAAAGAAATAAAATAATCAACAGCTATTGAAGTCTTAATCAAAAAATAGAAAAAATAATAATATAGAGTATTAGAACAGTAAATATAACATTAATAGTTTTAAGATTAGAAACTTTTGAAATAGTCTTTTGGAAAATTTTTAAACAATAATTAACATTCCTTACCATAGGTTTTACTTTGATAAGTATCGGTCTCTATGTAACAAACATAATATTTTATATTTATAATAGTTATCTATTAATCTTAATCACAAATGCTTAACTTACTGACTACATAACAACTTAAGGAATTAAATATCCGTTATGATTGTTTTAATCACACTTTCAATCATAATTATGTTAGAATTTAGAACTGTTGCGCGCCACTATTAATGTCTTGTACATGGCAACACTAGTTACCACTAGCGCCCTCCAGTATCGAGTAGCAGAACTAGGAGAGTCAAGATCCTTCCAGAAATTTCGGGACTGATATGTACTCGAACATATTAGATGTTTCTACACTACAAGGTTCTGGAAACTATCTGGGGCCCTATATAAGTCCGGTTTAGACCACGAACGGGTCAGTATTGAATTGGCGATACAAGAGAATACTTGGAAGCGAAATAACTGCGAACTAAAGTGATCAGTAGTACAATTGTGTTTTATTATTAGTGTGGTTTTAGATTGTAATTAATGTTCTGTAATTAAAGTGTCAATTTTGGTAATTCAATCGGCAGTTTTTAATTGTCTCAAACCCCAAGCTCGTGACAGAACTATGGTTAAACAAATCAAAATAATGTAATTTAATTAAAAAAGTACACGTTCTCATAATTTTTAAAACCCTTAAACTAATATTTGAAAAAAAAATGTAGCTACAGTCTTCACTATTTCATTTTTTTTTGTAACGAACATTCATTGGCAGTTCGTGGCCGTTACTATCCTCAGAATCATTAATTGTGGGGACGAAATCTATACATTCGTGTAAATCTAAATCGCCACGGTATAATCTAATGATATTAATAATTTGGGGATATAAATTCAAACGATTCTCTGCAGGCACTCTTTCTAACTCGAATGCTATCAATCGAGCGAAATTTTCATTTCTTACATCTGATGGGTGCTGATTATGGAAGTCTACCTTATTATGTAATATATCCGTTTGAAAAGATATTCGGGTTTTGTCGCGACTTCTGAAATAAATATCAGCATCTATCAGCTTTTCAAACGTTGTCTGTGTGCCAACTTCTTTTGTAATTTTATCAACATCTATTTTTGCATTGCTTTTATATAGTTTTGTGAAAGTAAACCCAGAAAGAATTAATGGTGATTTTGATCGTTTTTGAGCCATGCTTTTCTCTTACCTGTTAAAAACAAAAATCAAAGACAAAATAACGTTAGTAAATATACAATAATTATATGGATGTATTCAGACAGTATAATTTTATTACCTAGTCTTTTACGTCATTAATCTTTGAATAAATTCGTCATTATTATCATCATTTAATAAAGCATTTAAAAATGAATTTTTTGGTATTTCCATAAAACTAGTATTCTCCCAATCAAATTTATTAAGAGTTTGCAAAGTTTTCACTTCTACTTTTTTGTTATCATCATAAACGTTCTTAATTTTACTATTTGACGGCTGATTATTCTCTTTTTTTCTGAGTATTATACTGCTAGAAGTTCCTATTACAACATATTTTTACTTAGGTTATGTTTTAAGTATCTTCTATTTATCATATCGCTCTGATTTTCTTTATTACTTTCATCTGTAAATAAGTATTTCAAAAAACCTATATGCTTATCATGGAAGCAAGGATATCCGGTACTTAGACAGGTAAAGCAACTTCTATTTCTAAAGGCCATTTGATTATAATCGCAACTGAAAAAGACTTGGTGAGTTTCCATTATGCCTTTAAATGATGGGCTTTCCGTTGTTGAAATGATTTTTTCTTTATTTACTATATCATCACTGCTTACAATTTCAATAGTGATAATATGTGGTACGTTGGTCTGAACAACTTTTACAAATATCTGAAATGTGCCAATATCTTCTCCTTGTTTTACTATTCTATCAGCTGTTCTCTTCAATACAGCTACAAGCCCATCAGGTACAACTTTTCCAAGACCTGCTTCCAAATAATTCCACGATATTAAACGGAGCGCAACAAATTATTTGTGCAGTTGAGTCAATACGTAAAACATGAATCTATTCCTATATTGGCTACTTGGACTGTCACTAACGAAATGAATAGTGTCTATAAAAGGTGATAATTCTTTAATATAATTTAAAATTGGTATAATGTGTGCCCAAATTGCAGATGAATCATATTTTAGATTATCTGAAACAGTGCAAAAACAAAATGGCTTTACTTCATAAGTTTTATAATCCCTTATATAAATAACAATTGTGTGTATCGATACTTGGCGACGACTACCACCAAAATGAAAGGATTGTATTTCTTCGTGAAATTTCAGAGAGTAATTTTCGCTGAAATAGACGTGCACATTGTTCTCCAAGTCATTTTTAACTGCTTCAGCTCTTTATATTGTACTAATATATTGCCACAATGTGGCATGAATTTTTGGACCGATTCATCCAGTTTCTCAATCAAAGCTGAAGGAGTCTCTAACTTCTCTAGTTTGGTCCATATTCGTTTTTGCTTGATTTGATTGCTGTTATGATCATTATCAGTAATCTTTATCCATTCACTAAACAATATTTTAATATTGATTGATTTGAATTAATTGATTGTAACTTAATTTATTATTTTTGCAGTTGTCGCATTGTTTTCCAAGACATTTTACATTATATTTGTCGCAACATAAACTTTGCAGTAACTCGTTACTATTACGAACTTCTAATATTTTTGCTCTGTTCAAAGTTTTAATTAACAATTCATTATTCTCATGTAAAATACACTGACAAGTATTTTTATTATTTTTAGGAAAAGCCACCCAAAAGGGTCGGCATTAACAAAAAAAAGGAATAACATATTTTTATATTACTATTTTCCATCTGAAAAAATTTATATAAATTTCTTAGTGTGTCAGTTAGGTATCTCTTTTGTTTATTTTATTTTATTTTTTGTTATATATTCTTTAATGCCAGTTGCTAATTTACTATTTCTGTCTTCACTGTAAAAATTACGGACAACTAATGTTATTTTTTTTTCAACTTTCACTTTTAACTTTCTTTTCTTATGTTAACAAATTTTTGATTCGTTTTTATTTTCTTTAACAATTCTTCCTCATTGCTATATTTAATATTATGCCGAATTATCTGTCTTAATCTTTTATTTTCTTGGTTCATTTTATCATATTTTACTTTAAATAGTTTCTGTTGTGTTTTATACGGGCGTATTGCAACTGCCTGATTTTATTTTTATTTAAATATTGTTACATCCTTCTGTGTACTTACCTCTGATACCATTTGACTTTTACTTAAATCTTCGATTAAATCTGATTTTAGAGAAATAGGGTCAGCTGAACCAGTAGCTTCTTTTTTACTACCAATATTATTTTGTA